AAGGAAAGATTTTTTGACCAGAGTCAGAACACAATTTTGTTACAGAGGCTAAGTCAACATTCAAAACATCTCTCTATCTAATGATTATTGACTCTGCACTCATTTCAATTAGGGAAAGATTTCAAATGTTGAAAAATTACAATATCACTTTTCAAAGTTTTATTTCAGATAAATATGCTGTCTGATTGGACAGATGATGAAACCCTTGGTGATTCAAAAAGAATAGAGAAAATTTTAATCAATGACATGTATGGTCAATCCCTTTTTGAAGAGCTGAAAACATTGAAAAGTTTTTTTGAGAAAAAATGTCAGCAAAACAAGTACTGAATTTCATATACAATAATAATCTTATTGATTCATTTCCTATTATAATACTGCAATTTTAATCAGAAACTTCTTGACTCTGCAAGTAATCGTTGCATCTCCAGAAATATGTTTTTCTCAAAATTGAAAATCATAAAGAAATACTTAAGATCAAGAATGAGTCTGGGACAATTGTCAAATTTATTAATGATTTCAATTGAGCATGATGAACTTGAAGAACTATAGAAACAAATGATATCATCTCAAGGTTTGCTAGTGCAAAAGCCAGGAAAGTGTTATTCTAGACATACAAGATGTTTTTAGTAACAATTATTTTGGTGTTGGTATTTCCTTATGGACATTCAGCTACATTTATATTAAACCATGGTTTTTTCTCTTGAATAAGTTTTCATTTCATAAAATGTACAAAGAATTAACATAATTTATCCCATCAAAATCCAAATCTTCATTTTTTTTTGATTTATAATCCGTCTTTTGTTAAAAATGATAAGTATGACATAAGAGATTAACGTCAAAAAGTACATATCCCCGCGGTTCGTTCCCAAACGTGTGCCCGCGGTACGTCCGAACCCGGCCGGGACTGTGGTACTTGATTAATTTTGGTTAAACTCAATTTTTGCATTTAACTTTTTAATATGCTTTTATTTAGAGGTACTATTTCTCATGTACAATTATTGATATTCCGTTCTTACTTGAGAACATGCGCACCTTTTCTTGATATTCTTGAATTTTAGAGGGAGAAGGGGGGGGGCGTGTGTCACATGTGGGTATGCATTTTTTTTACGTTGTAAAAGTTTAGGCGTGCATGAAACTTGATTTCAATGAAATATTTTGGACTAATTTTGACATTCAAATATATTTTAACGGAAACAATTAGAAATTACAGGTGGACTCCACAAAAGAAAATTCAAGGAGCCAGCAGAAATGCACTGTAGGAAGAATTTCGGCGCAGCGAACCCCGTTAACAGAAAACATATTTTATTGTAAAGAGAAATCGCTGTAGACGAGATTGTTGAAGGTATAGTCCAACTATAGTTGTATTCGGGTTCAATCCATGTCAAAATTCAAATACAGGTGTACTTACGATTGATATTTTTATTATTGTTATCATTGTTGTAGAAATGGGGTATGCATCTTACTTGTGGCTAAAATTTTATGATCAAAGAAAAATTCGACTGTAGAGCCCTGGGAGGCGTCTTATTTGAGGGCGCATGGTACTCTCTAGTCAATATGGTATTTAGAGCTGTGGATGTTGAGTGAAGAAAAAAAGTCCTGTTTTTTAGACATTATTGGAATTTCATCCTAATTCTGCATTATTGTGGCATTCTCTTGATCAATTTAGAGATTATCTCCTCCTGGAGTAAGAGGGGGAACTGTTCAAGCTAGCTAGATTCTTTTCCATTTTTGCTGCATAAGTTTGAAAAAATGAGTAAATTGTCCCAGGATTTCTAACTCATTATGCGGGATACAGTTGGCAAAGAAATCAAGTTTATTCGTATTAGAGGCAGACTCTCCCTACAATAAACATCAAAAGTCCAGGGAAAAAATTGTTGTAGAGAACTTTTATTGCACAGGAGAGAGCCCTTTGGGGGAAAAAATCCGTTGTAAGGAGAAAATCGGTTTACATAAGAATATAAGATTGTTGTAGAGAGATCCCACCTGTATAGAAGTATAGTACAGTACTGTACAATATTTCCTTCAAAGAGATGAAGTACCACGTATCCCTCTGCATGGCTGTACGTATTTTAGCTGCTTAAATGTCATTGCATCGTCCCGATTCGGCGAAAAATACATTTGTCAACTTACTGTCGGAATGTGTCCCCTCCCGCGATACATTTTTTTCGCGAATTCAAGTTTTTTCGTTCGTTTTACTGTTCCGTATTTATGAATGGGCGGTATATTCTGCGTGTGATGGTTTTGAGCGGCACCCCAGGCGGAGAGCCATGGCTGCCGCGCGCTCTGGAAACGAGCGCGGCTAATGGACCGTGCCTGCGTTCGTGAGCGTGTACGAAGGAAGGAACGGACGGACGAACGAACGAACGCAGCGCTCGCAACCATGGCCTGCCTGTTTGTGAATGGAACTTCCGGTTGATCTCGTTCCCGATCTGCTTGTTGCTGCACCCTGCACATTTTTCTTGTTGTATACAAGGGGGGGGGGGGGGTTCTCATTCCATCTGGTTGTCCCTTGCTCGCATTTCTTCTCGGTATTCTTCGACCTTGTCCAAATTGTGGGCATTGGCAAAATTTCTGACGATTCGGACGCCGGGGGAATGACGTGTTTGCCGTGTCCGACAACAAGCATTGATTGCATTGTGGATGTACACAGTAATTTGTAGTCGATGTTGTTTTTTACGAATGAAACGGGGAATTTGCCGATTTCCTTCGCGTGGGATTCTTCAACTGTCTTCACACGGTATACCGTTTTTAATTGCCGTATTCTCTTGAAGTCTTGAGGATTTCTATGCCGGTGATATTGTTGATCAACTATCCAAAATATGGTTGAAAAGCATTTAAATTTTCAGTAGATTGCAGTAGTTGAACTGTACACTCTTCCGAGAATCCAATCGAAAGGTAATCGGTTCCATGTGAAAACCTTTCTTTCTTTTTCAGCAACGAAATTAAAGAACATTCTTGCAGGATATTTTCTCTGGGAGCTATTATTTATGATGACCGGATTGAATTTTGTTAATGGCAGTAAATTATGTGACTTGCCGAATCACTGAAAAAATTTTCGAGTTCCGGTGGTCTTAAGTGTTGAAAGGATTCAATGGATCTCGTAGAAATTGTTCTGTACGTTGGGAATAGATATAAATATTTTAATGTTCATTCGCTGCATCCATCCGTGTCGGACAAATTCAAGCTATTTCTTGTATCAAATGAGAGACTTCAAGGCGAACCATGAGAAACTTCGTACATAGTTGAATTGCATTTCAGCATGTATTTTGGGCTCTCCTCGAGTCATCTTCATTACTCCAGCATCATTATGTATGATTCCGTTTGTTCTCTCGCATTAAGGGCGTGGTTTTCAAGCTCTGTTCTACGGTTCCTAATTCAGAGAGTATGTTGGAAATTTGATATTAGGTAGTGCTCAAATTTAGGTGGAATCGTCAGCTGGCAGATGATTCTTTCCGGAAATCCGGCTGCTTTGAGTGCTGCAGGCTGTTTTTCTCTGATTACAAATTCAACATAATTTTTGGCCGAGCGAGAAGTCTTTAAACTGTACTGAAATTACAGAAATGCAATTACGGTAGTGGTGCGTGATTTTAATTTCCGAGTATTGCGTCCGGAAAAGTTATACTGTAGTAAGGGTTGTCCCTTGCTCGCGATCCCTTCATGTTGGGCATGTGACAACCCGCAAAAAAATTCGCACAACCGAGTGAACTTTCTGTTGGTCTCAGTAACAGCAAAAAACTAATTCCTTGATTGAAATCATCATAATGAACGTTTGCCTATGCTTCTACGCCAACTTATTCTTCTTTACTGATCAGTATCAAATAGAAGATAATCGAGATTGAAGTCAGGTTTATATTTCAGAAAATCTTCTGAAAATGCCATGCGTCACAGCATTGCATTTTCAGAAGATTTTTAGCCTATGACTTTGTCATAGGCTATATTAAAAATGTCCCTTGCAACTCCCATGTTCGGCCTATCAAGATATTTGACCTTAGGCCGCACTCAGTCCGATTTCAATTTTTTTTACAGTACTAAATTTTCAAAAAATCGAATAAAATAATTGTTCTTTCGAGATCCAGGAAGTAACTGTGCAGAACAGTAGCACTCATGATCTGATATTTTGGCACGAAAAGAAGCCAAAAAGAAGAGAACAAGCACAAGTTTTGGTGCACAGATGATGAAATGAACTCAGAAAAAAGAAGCACGAAATTTGCAGTTTTGGAACATTAATCATGATGAATTTCATTTTTGATATCAAAATTTTGGAAAATGTATTGCATTATTTTTTTCTCTAGAGACGTTGAAGTGTCTGTATCTCGAGACATTGTCCAGATTTGGAGACAGTTTTTCCAAGATTCCGAGTGTCCCTAAGTCGAATCGTCCGTATGTAGGGGCGTCGTTCACATGTGAGGGCCCCACTGTACTTGCCCATTTCCGGAATTCCGACGCAGCCCATGTGGCGGAGAATTTATGTGGGATTTAAATCGCTTGTACGTGATGATTCATATCATCTCCCCTTTTTTTTGAACGTTTGAAGATTTTTATCGATGTGTGCCCCAAATTCCTTTTGAATCGTCCACGTTTTAGCGGCCAAAGTACTGAAATTATCTCTGAAAAGCCAGGTGTGGCTTGTGCACGGAAAGTGAGTTTTTGGGCGTAACCCCGGGGAAATGCTGTCGGTTGAAGATATTGTCGAGCTTTGGGGGAAACCCGTGGTGGATGCGATTCAGTGCACCTGGTCTCTGTCGGATTCATTCAGACGCGTAGAAAATCCCTTCATCCGCAAAGAAGGGGGGGGGGGGAAGGGGTAGAACGCGAGATGAATGAAATAGTGGCGGGGTTTTCGGCGGCGTGCACGCGAAAAAGAAAAAAAAATGATGGATGAGCCGATCACTTCCGGAGCAGCGGTCGGGGTCGGGGGTTTGATCAATAATTGCTTACTCATGTTTTCTTTCCCCTTCCATTATTTTTTTTCATGGTTGCTGTTTTGTTGCGGGAGCCAGTTCGTCGACATTGGTGTTGTGGCGAGTATCCAGCTGAACAACAAGGACATGGAAATCCCGGCCAAGAAGGGACAAGAAGTCTGCGTGAAAATCGAGAACCGATCCGGTGATGCTCCGAAGATGTTTGGACGGCATTTCGAAGCTACCGACACAATCGTGTCTCGCGTAAGTTTACTGCTGTTTCTTTTTTTCTTCTTCCCTTTCCACTTATTTTCTGTGTGTATTTTTTGCAAAATGACTGCGTTCCTGTTATTTTCTTTTCAAGTTTATTGTCCATAGTTTTTGTTTGGACAAGGTGAAGTTCATCATACTGCTCGTGTAGTAAATATGTATCAAGTTTCTGATAATCATAATCAAGTTCGTATCGTACAGTTGAACCTCTCTACAAGTCGAATTGGAAGAGACTAAGAATGTTGACTTCGAGATTCTTCGAGTAAGATAATAATCTGTAAGTTCGATAACATAAGTAAGATGAACCCTGATATGTGAGGGTTAATCAATTGAAATTATTGTATGACTCAATTTTGAAATAGTGCGTTATTCTTGAATGTCATACATGCAGGAAGTTGCCAAATCCCGTGTGGAAAGCACTAGAATAAATTTACTGGAAATTTTAGTTCTGGATATTTTTGAGTTGGGAATGTTGGACCGCAGCATTTTCACTTCGACTCCATGTCACACTCGTAATCCCTGACGAACAGTATAAAATATTAAAATCTGAGACATATTTTAGAATACGAAGTGGAGTGCAATTTTTAAATTTTCGATTCAAAACATTCTAAAATTTTTGTTCAAAAATGTATCCCCAGTTAAAAAGCACAAGGACAATTGAAAATACGACTAAGGAAGGTTATAGCCGAAAAGTTTTTAGTTGGATAAGATTAAAATTCATTGGTCGTGGTGGATTTTAAACATGGGATTGGCCACGGTTTTATCGAAAATTAGAGTTTGAGAGGTTTTTGACTTCGGGAGGTTATACTGTAACATAATTACTCAACTGTATACCACGCTTTTTCCCGCAAAGAAACAGTCTTTTTTAAATTCTAAAATGAGCACAAATCAGTGGTATATTTTTCACATAGACCGCTTTTGCATGAAGAATGTGGCATTTATAAAAAAAATATGTCCCAGACGTCAGCTGTTCGGAATTTTATAATATATTTTTGTGACGTACAGTCGAAGTGGAAATACTGATGTTCAACTTCTCTGATTCAATAAGTTCCTTGAAGCGGTTTTAAAAATCCAGCATTGCGCAGTGGGATATCAATTGACGTCTATTAAAATTCAACTGTGCAAGTAATACGAGGGTTCTAACAAAAGTTCTCCGAGATGGCCTACAGTTGACCTGAAACAAATTTTTTCTTCAGGGAAAACATTTTATTTGGCACGCAAAAAATATCAGCACTGTTTGACAAATTGTGTTGAATTTTTTTTCATAATTCACCCTGGCAGAGTTTTGCTCTCCACTCAAAAGATGAGGTACCCTTTTTTGTTGTAGCCCAGCTTTCCCCTCAGAATTTTTAAAATCAACTTGAAATTCTTTCTAAGGATTCTTTCTATGGAGGCAACCCTTCAGGAAGATTGCCGAGCTGATCTTGAAAATTCTGAGGGGAAAGCTGGGCAACAACAAAAAAAGGGCGCCTCCTCTTTTGAGTAGAGAGCAAAACTCTGCCAGGGTGAATTATAAAAAAAATTCATAAAAAAATGTCAAACAGGGCTGATATTTTTATGTGCCAAAGAATATGTTTTCCCTAAAGAAAAAATTTGGTTCAGCTCAACTGTAATCCATTTTCATTGCTACTCCGAGGACTTTTGTTAGAACCCTCGTATTTCTGTTCTTCTTCGGGTGTAAATAGTCTCATGTGATTCACGTCTCACAGTTCTTGTTTTGTTATCCGGAACCAGAATGTAAAATACAGTATTTGTTGCTTCTATTTTTTTTTCTTTTATTCCGCAGATATCACGAGAATCGATTGACGCTTGCAAAGAGTTTTTCCGAGACGACCTGCAGAAGCCGGACTGGCAACTGATGATCGAATTGAAGAAATTGTTTCAGATTTTGTGAAAAAGTGGAGGAAGGAAAACACACCTGTTTTCTTCGACGAATCTGGCCCGAGAAAGCGTTCTGTGGCCATCCTTTTTCAAAACTTGTTCTGTCGTCTGGAAAATCATGTTTCTTCTCTGGAATTTTTTCTCACGCTGATGGATGGGTTACAATATCAGCTTCCAACTCTCTGTGGTTTTTTTTTTCTTTTCTTCTCTTTGTTTAACAACCAGTTTTCTTTTTTTTTTTTTTTACTGCCGATGTCTTCCGGGGATTTTTTTCTCTCTCTCTCTCTCGAGTGTAAAACTGATAGTACTGTTTATATTCTTATTCTTTCTTTTTCGTGGTTGTTTGAGCGCGCTTTTCGGCCCGGAAGCAACGCGGTTTCCGGAATCGGTCCCCCTTTTTTAAAGGAAGACATAACGGTTTTGAAGCAAACGTGGTGTGATACAGATTTCCGCAGGAAGAAATAACACGAACGGGGGGGAAAGAAGCTCTCGTGGTGTTTGTTTGTTCCGCAGGCGAGAAAAATGAAAAGAAGCTGGTTCTGGGTGGAGAGCGAGGGGTTTTGCTTTTTTTGCTAATCGTTTTGTTTTTCATTTTATTTATTTACGGCAGGTATTTTCCGACTCAAGACACGTTTCATGTGATACGGTGGCTTTTTCAATGAAAACGTGAGTTGAATAGCACGCGGTTAGTACTGTACTCTTGAGGGAAGCACCAACAGGGATTGGTTGAATTTTGTCCTCATTCAATATGTTTAGTACCGGTATTCTTTTGAATGAAATACGTTACTATTATTGGCTTTTCGAAAACAAGTTCCGAAGTACACATTTTGAGAGAGCATGATTGTTACCTACGAATGCAATTTTATGGTTCAATTTTATTTTGGACAGTGGGACCCCTACATACGGACGATTCAACTTACGGACACTTAACTGAAAGTCTGTCCTGATTTACGGACAATGTCTCATGATACAGACACTTCCAACATTCCTAAATAATTGAAGTATTTTATTCCTCTAAATTGTAATCTCTTGAACGAAGTTAGCTGCAGTATTTGAAGTAAAAAAAAAATTTTATTTCTACCCCAATTCATGATCAAATTAAAGCAAATTATGTTTCCTTTTCCAGAGTTTTTTTTTTTTCATGTGTGCAAAATATAGCTATACTTGTTCTTTTTCTGTAGCTCCTTCTGATACATTAAAAGCAGAATCTGCTCAATTTTCTTTTGTGCAGTTATTTTCTGTACCTTGAAGTTGTGAAAAACATTTGTATTCAATGTTCTGGGAACTTCAATCCCAATTGTTGATTCACTGGGAAACCAATTACATTATACTGTGTATGTTATCATTGAAGTCTATGGGAAAACATGATTTGACATACAGATGCTGCAACATAAGGACAAGGTCCAAGCACCGATTACTTTATAATCTTAGGGCCCCACTCTAAATGAATTTATTGTTTTATCCTACCCCTCTCAGAAGTGGCCAATGGCAGCATTGCAAGGGTCAAGAGTTCTTGCAGGGCACAATAATCGGAGATAATTTTTCAAATATTTCACAGAACAGAAGCAAAATATGAAACCAAAAGTTCAAGAACAAGGTAAATTTCAAATGAAGAGGCTTTATGCAAAACACTCATTCAGCACAATGGCATATATGGTGTGCAAATTCAGGATTGGGGGAATTTGTTCAAGAACAAGGTAAATTTCAAATGAAGAGGCTTTATGCAAAACACTCATTCAGCACAATGGCTTATATGGTGTGCAAATTCAGGATTGGGGGAGAATCAGACTATAGGAAAAGTTTTCCACTACAGTTATGTTGAAGAATCCTAGCATATAGAGCAGAATAGATGTTGAAACTTGAATGCTTCTAGCTTCATGGTTTTGCTCATTGTGCTTTTCAAGGTGTAGTACATCTCCCATTAGTAACGGTGATCTTACCACATTTCAAGGTGTCAACCTTCAATCACCAGAAAAGTATCCCATGTCCTTGATGAACACCTTGCAACAATCTTCTTTTAGCGAGAAAAACAGTATCAAGATTGCTACAACCCACACCAACTACAGCTAAGCTTCAAAGAATGTTGTTTGTCAGCTCTTTTTTTTTTTTTTTACCTAAAATTGGATTCTGTTCCTTATTGCATTTCAAATATTGCATTATTTTTCTAATTTATCAAACTTTTTCCCGTTTAAACAATGGGCAGAAAAGAAGCATGGGTCATCTTTTTCATGTATTTTGTTTAGGAAAGGTCAGAGTGGTCATGTCAATTCTGCCCTTGAGACATGATATAAATAATTATTTGGAGATGCTCTTTCAGCCTACTTTCAATTTCTCTGGTCCTTCAAGAGCTGTGTGATTGCAATTGTAACGTTAAAAGTATTCCATCATTTCTTGGGAATGTTTTCCATGAATGAATGGTAGAATATCAAATTATTCTGTATTCATTTGAGATTCCGGGTCGAGGATGATGTTTCAAAAAAAATTACACGTTTTTTTTTTCATTCTAAAGCAAAATGAGGGTATTTGTGTCCTAGTACTTGTGCCTTCCTATCAACCGCATTCTTGGAGTCTAAATTTATTTTTTCATTTGCGATTTGCCTCAAAACATACTGTACTGTACTTCTATGTACTGTACTGTACTGTATTGGATTAGAATGTCTACGGTTCCTTGCATGATATCAGACAAGCCTCATGGATGAGACGAAAAATGGCATGCAAGCCTTCTTTGTTTTAATGAAAAACAAAGGAGACTAAAAATTAGAAAAATGCTCATACATTTAGCAGTATTTGACCTTCACAACAGGGAACTTTTGCTTTACCAACTGGTCACTAACATCTTCACTTTAAAGAAAAAATTGAGGAAATCGCGGTTCGTCTCTGGAGCAGTGCATGTGATTCATTATTAATTTATAGGAATAGGAAACTATAAAATTTAATGAGCAATTTCCTCGCGAATGACTCGCGCTTACTTACCGCAAATGAGTTGTTTTCATTATTCATGTGGTTCTTTCGCAGTTGGTATAATCTTAAAATGTACAGTATTGTGCGTACTTATTGGGCATCTGTAGTCATGTTGGCCAAAATTTACAATACTGTACTTCAGAGTTCCATTCTACCGTATTTTGAACTAAGTTAGAAACGTCTTATTTCTCAATGATTTTTTTTTTTTTCAAATTGTATTCCGGGGATTTTTTTTCTTGATTGGAAAAAAATCGTTGGGTCATTTTGAGGCATCTATAGTTGAGTATATACTAACTAATTTCCGGCATTCTAATTCTAACTTGAGCAAACGCAAAATGTTTTTTTTAATGTCTTGTCGGTCACACGAAGGTACTGTGTAGTTGATAGATGACAATGACAAAGAATGTTGTTTCATCTTTGACAACTTGAGTTTGCTTTCGAAAAATTGAAATCACCATTACTGATACGTGAAGATGAGAAAGCAAAATTGAATCGGAGAAAGCCTTTTTTTAAATCAATTTCCGAGCCATGAAAAGCATAAAAAAATTTACCCGCGAGGATGAAACTCTGCATCTTGCCAATGTTATCATATCCTGCAAAATTTTATAAGAAGCTATTCAGGGTTCGGCAACTTTTCCTGGGAAGGATGCCCAAAATAAGGACATCGAACGTCATGGAATTTTATTTTTTCGTGGGATCTGCGTGATTTTTCGCAACACATTCTTTCCGTCCGCTTTTTATGAGATGACTCTTTTTTCATCCCTTGTAAACGGGTATCTTGTGGATTGTCTCCAGACAGAATTATGTCCGTTTATAGCGATTTCTTGTGCGCTGTAACTTTCCAGCGTCACGCACCTGGTGATCTTGCACGATTATGCGCAATTTGAAGCGGAGTTCGTGCTGATTTCCGACGGACGAAGAGTGTCTTTTGAAATGAAGAAACTGCGGCGGAAGTGGGGTTAACCCCGGAGAAAACGCGCGGGAAAAGTAGCAGGGTGTGGGTGGAAAGTGTTATTTCTTCCGCCCTCTGTGGCTATTTTTAATCTTTTTCAGGGGGGGGGGGGAAGCGGATTTATCTTGTTCCGCTTGTGGGGAGGGGACAGATTTTTTAAAATTTTCCTTCAAGATTTTCTTTCACATTTTGGGTCTTGGAGTCAGACTTTTCTTTAAACCCAGTTTGAGTGGGGAGAGGCGTTGAAAATGAACTTCAAATTAATGTCAAGCCGGTGAATGTGATTTCCTCTGTAAAGTCTACACCATAGCAGAGGTATTTAAAAATACTGTTAAAGTGAGGCCCTGAGATGTGGACGTAATTGCTTCTCAGGCTGTTCCCATACACTGGAAAGTCCGTTTGTCAGACTATCACATTTTCCCCGAGACTTCAATTGAAAACGTTTTAATCACTTCACTTCTCATGTTTGAGGAAAAGTTGGAAAAATGGTTCCAAGCGATTCAGACGATAATTTGGAGGGAGAAAATCAGGCAGAATCTGCCCTTCTGACGTGGCAAACTCCAAAAGGCAAAAATTGAGCATGCATGTACTGTACTGTACTTTTAATGTACACAGGTTATGGAACAGCCCCTATAAAAAGATAAATACGAAACGAGCATGTTTCTGAAAATAAATTAGAAGCAAATCATGATGATATTCATCTTGATGTCATTCCATGGCAGAGGTCCAAAAAATAGGTGTTGAAAAAATTCAGGAAATTTTGGCAAATTGTACATCATTTGAATTTTCTGTATTTCATATTTTTCATGTGCTGTAGCAGTTCTGTATCGTTTCCCTTAGCCTCAAGAACCAGGGAAATGAATGAAGAATTTTTTGCTTACACAGTAAGACCCCAAGATGCGGACACAATTGGTGCATCAAGAGTGTCCCTAAGTTGAATTGTCCATTAAATTGAGTCTTGTTTTCCCATAGACTTACATTATATTATTTTTAATTGGTGTTTTAAGGGAGAAATATTCTTCAGGATTCCCTGAAAAAAATGTTTGCCACTTGAATTTGAATTATTGAATACATTTTCAACTCAATAAGAACATTTGGAGCATTAAATAGTGTATCTCTGTACTGTACATTGAAATGTTGGCATCTACAAAAGTATTATTCAAGTGAAAAAATTTTAGAAGTCCCTCTTTGCTGGAGGTAATTTTTTAAAATTTGCTGAATTGATGGATGGTAAATTGGTGAGAGAGATGTCCAAGAACTTTTCTTACATGAATTTCAGGATAGGAAATATTGGTTTCTTGTAACTTGGCCTGAAATGTATTTGCAATATTATCACAAAATGTCCCTATGTTGGGCCTTTTTAATACATTTTTATTGCGAAAATAAGTGTCCCTGTGTTGAATTGTCTGCAGGTCAAGGTGTCCGCATGTGGGGGTCTCACTATAGCACATAACTGTATTTCCAAAGAGTCCTCATTGTTTTATATTGGTCTAATCATTTTGAAAATACATTTAAGTACACTACCTCCATTGTGTAAGTTTGCTGACAGCATGGACCCCAAATTTCCAAAAAACCATTCTGCTGGAACAACCGTCAACATGTCCATGAAATTTCACGTAGAAATTGCGACAAACAAA